TATAATGAGGGGAAGGTGATAATAGAATAAAAGAAAAAAACCAGCATCTACCTTAGAAGGTAGATTGGTTGAAAAGCACTCTGTAGGGGCACCTGGGTGGCTCAGTCCTTAAGCGTCTGCCTTCGGCTCAGGTCATGATCCCAGGGTCCTGGGATCGAGCCCTGCGTCGGGCTCCCCGCTCAGCGGGAAGCCTGCTTCTCCCTCTCCTACTCCCCCTGCTTCTGTTCCCCCTCTCGCTGTCTCTCTCTGTCAAATAAATAAATAAAATCTTTAAAATAAACAAATAAATAAACAGACCTTCTTCACTTATAAATTTTAAATAAATAAACCCATATGAGCACTAGGCACTGGGAATACATACGTTTAGTAAGGGCTCAGTTATTACCTCAACCTGTTTTCCCTCTAGCCCTATGGGGTAGAGGCATTAATCAGCCCCTTTTTATATTGGCCACATGAAGCTCAGAAGGGTTGTTACTTGCCCAGAGCCACACAGCTGTGCTTGAACTCAGAGTCTATCTCAAGGCACATACTCTTAACCCCAAGGCTGGTGCGCCTCTCTTAGTCCCTACCCTCAAGGCGCTTCCATTCTGATGGGGAAACAGACATTGGATAAACTGCACAAAGATAAACAGCACATCAGCTGACTGCTGTGAAGGATTTGGTGAAGGGCAGAGACAGGACATGGAGAACGTAAGCACCGGCTGGCTGGGCTGCACGAAAGCTAAGAAGCAGGCAGTACGTTCGAATTGCGAACAGAGCGGACTTTTTCCAAGGTGAGACTTTCTGGTGGTCTGAGAGGGACTCCTTCAGGAGCAAGACTGGCGGCTTAGAGCCATGCCCGTGCGCTAACCCTAGGGGGCGCTGTTCGGCGCGGAGCCGGGCACCCAGACGTGGCCGAGACCTTGCTGGGAGGCGGGGCCGCCTCCTGGGGTGGGGCATGCGTGTACACAGGCACGCGGACCTCACAGGTTCCGCCATGTTCCTGTTTAAAATCATTTTGCTGGCGGCTCAGGACCCAGAACGTTTGACCACCACTGTGGAGGCAGCAGGGGGTGCCTTAGCCCTGGATGGGCCCTTGCCGAGCGTCCCACACACTAGTGTGAGGGAGAGAGAGAGAGGCTCCAACCTTGTAGGCACTCCGGAACATTTTGGTGAATGACTGGATGGATGGATAAATGAGGAACATTTCTCCCAGCCCCTCTTTCTTCGAGGGAGGGGTAGACCTCACTCTCCAACTCTGCAGGTTGGAATGTTGCCTGGGGATAGAAAACAAAACAGAACAAAACATTTTGGTCAGAGGAGAAAGACGATGAATTGTTAATGCTCAGCAATTTTTACAGCTAAAAAGTTGCTTCCTCGCTTCAGGGAACCCAAAGGATATTATTAGGATTGGGTTGGGGCGCCTGGGTGGCTCAGTCGTTAAGCGTTGGCCTTCGGCTCAGGTCATGATCCAGGAGTCGCGCGGATCGAGCCCCGCATCGGGCTCCCTGCTCAGTGGGAAGCCTGCTTCTCCCTCTCCCACTCCCCCTACTTGTGTTCCCTCTCTCGCTGTCTCTCTCTCTCTGTCAAATAAATAAATAAAATCTTGGGGCGCCTGGGTGGCTCAGTCATTAAGCGCCTGGGTGGCTCAGTCGTTAAGCGTCTGCCTTCAGCTCAGGTCATGATCCCAGGTTCCTGAGAACGAGCCCCACATCGGGCTCCCTGCTCGGTGGGAAGCCTGCT